CAGTGTTTTACACATTGGTATTCTTGACTAAATGTATTTCAAATTATTTTTAAAAATATGGAACTTATTTTTTTCTTTGTGAAATAGATACTCCTTCCGCCCGAAAATGGCCTTTCCACTTAAATTTTCATCATCTCCAATATTACACTTTGATGAAAATTTAATAATTCAAAGTTATGTTTAATAAGGAAACTATTGATATTAATTATTTTTATATCGAAATATAATGCACTTTTTCATATATCGAGATCAAAGTTTATTTATAAATTTTGACCAATAAAAGTCTAGGACTGGGAGAGTAATAATTAGTATGGATGAGGTAGTTATTATTCCCTAAAAATATTGATTTTCAAAAAATGTAAAACTGCATACATTGATAGAGAGACTCAGAGAAGCAATACATGGAGGAGAGGAAAAGAATGGTACAAGGAAAAGCCAACATTTGGTGCTAAGCATTGGAAAAAGTCAAAGCGGACTTTACTCGTATTGCTGGTCGTATATGACGGCTCGAATACATATCACCGAGTACGTAGTAGCCGAGATTCTGGATAGAAGAAATCCATTGATGACCTTCCTTCCGACGTTTTCTTTGACTATAAAAATCTCATAGATAAAGCTACTTGTACTCCAATATTTTGTACCCCAAATTTGGGGTACAATTTTTAGTCTAAATGTAGCATAGTCCAAATCTCATAGCTAACAACAATCCCTCAAGAGAAAACAAACAAACAAACCCCACTTCCACAGCTTTTTAATTTTCTTCTCAGCAAAAAGATGAGCAAAACAGTTCGCCTCTTCCCATTATTTCTTCTCTTCACCATCACGGCATTGTCATCATCATCTTTTTCTTCTTCTTCATCATCTTCATCTTCAGCTTCAGCAGCAGCTGCTTCTTGTCAGAAAAACCAGAGCGACACTCTGCTCAAATTTAAGGCGGCCTTCGCCACCGACACCCAGGCCTCTATTGCCTGCGCCGACGCCGGGATCACCACATACCCAAAGACAAACTCCTGGAAGGAAGGCACTGACTGCTGCGCCAAATGGGACGGCGTCCAGTGCGAAAACCAGACCGGAAATGTGATTGGCCTTGATCTCAGCTGCAGCTGGCTCCAAGGTGATGTCCATTCCAACAGCACCCTTTTCTCCCTCCAACACTCTCAACCTGGCCTACAACGACCTCCAGCAATCCCAGCTCCTGCCTCTTTATGCTTCCTTCTCTTCCAGCTTGACCCATCTTAACCTTTCTTCCAGTAACATGATTGGGGAAATACCCGTTGAGCTCTCTGGCTTGTCCGGGTTGGTTAAAGACTTGGTTATGCTGGACTTGAGTTTCAACAATGGGTTGAGACTCGAATCCTCCGTGTGGGCGGCTCTCGTTCAGAAGATGACCCGGTTGAGAGAAGTGGGGTTGGACCGTGTTCGTATGGTCTCGATTGAACCCAGCACCGCCTTTTCCGGATTCTCGCCCGCTCTCACGACACTCACCCTTAACCAATGTGATCTGAAGGGCGAGTTCCCGGCGAGTGTCATGGGCTTGCCTAACCTTCAAAAACTCGTGCTCTCGGAGAATGGGGAGCTCACGGGGGGACTTCTCAAACACAGTATGGAGCAATTCACTCAAGCATCTCGACATCCAGTTCACCAAAATTGCAGGGAAATTGCCAAACTCAATCGGCAATCTCAAGTCGCTGCGGCATTTGGATGTTGGAGGCTGCCGCTTCAGTGGGTCCATTCCAGCTTCCTTGGGGAACCTCACGGAGCTGAGGTTTCTGAGTCTGATAACTAATGATTTCAATGGTCCGATCTTGACCAGCTAACCGTCTTTGCTCTCTCTGAAAACCGCCTCACGGGGAGAATTCCAAATATGTTTGGGAGAATGAGTAAGCTGATTGGTTTTGCAGCCATGTCCAACAGGGCGTTTCCTTCGGTGCACTTTTAAAATATAGTGTTTTGAAACACTCTCTACTTCGCCCAATAATAAATAGACATGTGGCTCTTTTTACCAACTCATTTAAATGAAGTCAAAGTTGATTTATCTTTGCTAGTTAGTCCCAAGGACTTCTTTGCAAATAAAAAACTTTTCTCAACCTTTTCTTCCGTCAATCAGTCTCTACGCCGTTTCTCCTATCATCTTCGTCAACTCTCTCTCTCAATCGCATATCTCTATCTTCGGCTGCCCTGCTCTCTGGCGGAAATTTCAAGGTAATTCTCAAAGATTCCTTCTTCTACAAGATGGGCTTCATCATATAAGGTTCTCACTCTATTTATTTTTCTAAAATTTTCAGTATTTAAATTTTATTTCTTTCACTGTTTTTCTATCCGATATTTAATTTGTAGATTCTGTATTCTAGTTTCAAAACTATGGTTAATTGCTACGTTTTTTGTTTGAGGAATCCTGCGGCACCTTGTGGGCGATTTGCGAGTTCTCTGCATTTAGGGTTAGAGGGAGTTGTGTTGTGCAGGAGTAGAGGTTAATGAAGAATTGCTTTGTCCCTCAAGAACAATTCAATCATACTTATAAAGAAGGAGGTCCTTGGCTTCCTAGTTGAAGGATCACAGATCAAAATCAGGGCTATTGTGGAAAGAGGAGCTGGAATCTGCTGCTGTGGCTACCAGTCGCCTCTTCTCCGGAAAACATTCATTTTCGATTTCCAGTTGATGGGTGTATTTAACCCAAGACCGGTCAAAGCAGAAGGCCGAATCTTTGATCGGTCAATCTCGAAAGTTTTGGAAGGGAGACTTAAATCGTCAGCAAAACGATATATCGTCGGCCAAAATATGACCGGTACACTTCACAAAAAGTATACCGGTCAAACTACGTTGTCATCCTATTTGTTCCAGACTTCGATAAATTCATCCCTCGGAGATTACTCGGTGTAGTTTCTGGGGTTGGAAAGTGTCGGCAGAAGAGGATCTGCGAGGGTTTGGCGTGTAGCGACCCGTGTCAGTAGAGGACAACTGGAGATGCTGAAGAATCCATCCAAGGCGCTACTCGACAAAGGTAATGATCCCCCTCACAAGGCGACAAGGCAGCTCGAGGACGAAACCAGTCACCTCGCACCACATCAGCAG